TCCTCCTTCCCCTCCCCTCGGAGGCCCCCTGAGTCAGGAGTTGCTACCGCCGGCGCGGCTCCGCACGGCTCCAGTCCTGCGTTGCCTCGGGAAGGGAAAGGCAAAAAGGAAGAGCCGCGGCGGTGCTTTGCAACGGCAGCAGCGGCACCAGAGGCTCAGGCTCAGCGGCTCCTGGTTTTGCCTTTTCCTTCCCAAGGCAACGCGGGACTGGAGCCACGCGGAGCTGCGCTGGCGGTAGCAACTCCTGACAGCCCCAGCCGGACACCTGAGCGGAGCCCGGGCGGAACTGCCTGTTGCTGCTGCCGGAGCACCACCGGGTCTCCTCCTCCAAGCAGCCCGCCCGCCCGCTGGGCTTCCCCTCCGCCGCGCGGCTCAGGGCCAGGCGTGAGCGCCCGCGAGTTAAAAGGAAGCTGAAAGTTGCTGGGAAGTTGCTCGGGTTTCCGGGGCTTCCAAGCTTAAACTTTGCATAGGCAAAGTTTGCAGGCGGGAGCGTCTTCCCGCCGAGGAGCGGGAAGGTTTCCGCCTGGCAGGCGGGCGGGCAGGCTGCTTGGAGGAGGCGACCTGGCGGTGCTCCGGGTTTCCCCTCCGCCGCGCAGCTCGGGGCCAGGCGCGAGCGCCTGCGAGGAAAAAGGAAGCCGCAAGTTGCTGGGAAGTTGCTCGGGTGCTGGGAGCAGGCTTTTAAAGTGCCGCCCGAGCAGGACTGCCGAGCCAGGAAACGGGGCACCAAGGCAGGGCAAGGCTCCACCAGCAGCGGCCTAGCTTTAGGTGGCTCCAAGCAGCCCGCTCCAAGCAGCCCGCCCGCCCGCCGGGCGGAACCCTTCCCGCTCCTCGGCTGGAAGACGCTCCCGCCTGCAAACTTTGCCTCTGCAAAGTTTAAGCCTGGAAGCCCCGGAAAAAAAAGGGGGATCGGCGGGGACTCACCTTCGGAGAGGTCGCACTCGAAGGTGATTTCGAACTCCCAGCCGAGGCCTTTGCAAAGTTCTTCTTTTCTTTCCTACCCCGACAGCGCTCTGCACTGTTTTGCAGCTTTGGGGGCCACACGGCGCAGGGCAATACGCCACGCCCAGCTATTTTTTTTCAGGGGCGGGCCGGATTGGACAGACCAACGGGCCGGGTGTGGCCCGCGGGCCGTAGTTTGCCCACCCCTGAGATAGATAGATAGATAGATAGATAGATAGATAGATAGATAGATGATATATAGAGATGAGAGGTAGATATAGATAAATGCGATATAGATGAAATTGATTGATTGATTTGTCTGAAGTGGCGTAGGGTTTCCTGCCTAGGCAGGGGGTTGGACTAGAAGACCTCCAAGGTCCCTTCCAACTCTGCTATTAGATAGATAGATAGATAGATAGATAGATAGATAGATAGATAGATAG